AGAGAATTGAGTCCCTTGATGAGATAGCTAGCTCAATTAGAACTGAGTGCTTAAAAAAGCTAAGAAATGTTTGTCATGTAATTCCGTTAGGATCCCAGAAAAGAATCCTGACCAGCAACTTCAGCCATGGTTATGTCATTGTTCATAAATAGGATTTTTGCAACTGTGCACTGGCGTTCCAGAAATACAGTGGTGGTGGTGTAATAGTACTAATGGCCAACGTTTATTAAGCACTTACGGGTTGAAAACTGTTTAAGGTATTTACATTCATTATCTCACATGCATCATCTTCACAATCAACCCTATAAGATAGGTACTATTACTATCCTCTTTTTAAAGCTGAAGACAAGAAAGAGAGAGATAATTAGACCAAGGTTACTCAGGTCAAATTGGGTATTCAGATTCAGAGCCTATGTTCTATGGTTAAGCCTCTTTTCCACTTAATTAATCCTTCAACTCACCTTGAGAATTTGGGGGCTGAAAAAACTTAGAAATCATCTAGACCAACAGTGACCCAAATCTGATTGTATATGTATTACCAATAGTACCTATGGAAATTTTTGAATAACTGCCCCACAGCTGAAGCTTTTTATTCATAAAGCCTGGCAGGAGGACCAGGACTCTGTAGTTTTAACAAATAACTCAGGTGATTCTGATGCCCTTATTCTGTGAATCAATGTTTGTGAACACTGCTTGGTTCAACCCCACCTTTACCCCCAACTTCTGCCTGCCATTCACTGTTTTTTACATTCTACTTTGCAGTGGAGAGCCCCTCATTTTTCTCAGCTGCCACAATGGAATATTTGATGTGCATACCCCAGGTAGTCAGCACTGAACCATGATATTCCAAAGGATTGTTGCTATATAGATATATAATATTCTTGTTGAAAAGTGCAGAGATTACATTGAACATTATTTCCAAAGGGAAATTTACCAATAAAAACACCTAAATTTGTTTCAGTACTTACTTTTAATATATTTCAGAATGTATCTGTTTCTAGTGCTTGTGGGTTTCTGTGATAATCGTGCACACACGTGTGTGTGTGTGTGTGTGTGTGTGTGTGTGTGTGTTATTCCTACTTGCCTTACAAAGTCAAGGCCATCTTTTAACTATAAGTCAGGTGTAAATGTACTCAGGTAGTGGGACTTTAGCACACATGATTTCCAAAGAGTTCAAATATAACATGTTTTTGGCCTTTATTAGTGTACAGCGACAAAAACACAGCACAAATGACAATAGGAAAGGGTCAGAGAATGCAGGGAAGAAAAAATGAGAGGAAAATTGAATACGAGAGTTTCAAAAAGAAATAGCAATCAAAAAGATTCAGCAAGTAAATATAAAGAAAGCCTCAAATAAAAACTAATGTAACAATATTAGTGCTAACCACATCAGTTACTGTATGAATTTACTTAAAACTGTGGAAAAGATTTAACAAATGTATACATCAAAGGTGGAATCAAAGTTAATAACTGCCTAGCCAGGCGCGGTGGCTCAAGCCTGTAATCCCAGCACTTTGGGAGGCCGAGGCGGGTGGATCACGAGGTCAAGAGATCGAGACCATCCTGGTCAACACGGTGAAACCCCGTCTCTACTAAAGCTACAAAAAATTAGCTGGGCATGGTGGCGCGTGCCTGTAATCCCAGCTGCTCAGGAGGCTGAGGCAGGAGAATTGCCTGAACCCAGGAGGCGGAGGTTGCGGTGAGCCGAGATCGTGCCATTGCACTCCAGCCTGGGTAACAAGAGCGAAACTCCGAAAAAAAAAAAAAAAAAAAAACAAAGTTAATAACTGCCTGAATAAATGTGAATTGTTTAAATTATAAATAGGTGAATGATTACTTATTTTCTAAAATCCTGTTAGGCTTATTTTACCCCATAAAAAATTTTCTGTTATGTATTTATTTTGAAGTGATCATATTGAAGTATCTTCCGTAATTAATAGTCCTTTCTCAAGCTCAGACAAGCTATTTGGAGCTATTAATTTTCAGATTTTTCCCTCAGCCATGATAAATGGCAGATGGCTCTTTCAGCTCTAAATTTTTCATCCTAAAAATCATAGTGTTTCTCTAGGCTGGTCAACCTGAAATTATGGAACCATAGAATTAAAGTTAGGGGGTGTTTTTTTGTTTGCTGTTTGATTTAGTTTTTGTTTAGTACTTTAGCTTTATTTAGAATCATCTCAAACTTTTGACATTCTGATGACTAGCTAATCAATATCTATTTTGTAAAACATTTCTACCACAGGTCTAAGGTTTGTCTCTTACATGCCCCAACTGCTGTAGAAATGTGTTCAAACACTACTTTAAATACCATAGTTTGTGCAATGATGTTTCAGTCTATGTAATACATATTTGGAATTATCTTTATTATGGTAAGTGCTTGTTATGCCTGAAAATTGAATCTGCTAGCATTTTCTTAGATTGAAGAGAGAAGACGACTAATATTTTAGTACCCGCTATGTCCAGGTATACATTATTTAATTTTTTACAAAATCCCATGGGATAAAATATTGTTATCCCATTCCACAAGTCAGTAAGCCCAAATTTCAAGGTTTAGTAACCTAACCAATGTTACACAGCCTGGAAATGTTGGGCTGGATATTCAGATTCAGAGCTTGCCAGCTTTGAAGACCCCTGGTTTCTAGTACTCTGTGATCTTTGACAACTTTGTTGTAGTCTCTCTTTTTTGTGATTTTGGAGAATGCATTATAATTTTTGGCCAAAATTTAAAATGTGAGCCTTGAAATGTTACATATGAATAAAATAGGAGGCTTCATTAGAAAGGAATCATGTGTACTTGGAGATTGCAAAACAGAATAAATGTAACAACAGTAATTTCAGTAATTTGTAGGGGCACAGAGGGTCTATAGCTAAAAGACAAAATTTCATGCTTGCAAAGGAGCTTACATAATAGCCCTTATAATTTGGTCTTAGGTGACATTTTAGGTAAAAATCAAAATACTCTTATCTCTCAAGGTGGCAAGTCGATGGTGACAAGCAAAAGAAAAAAAGAAGCTATACTGGAATTCCAGTGGATCATAGGCCTTTTAAGGTCTTTGCAAAGTTATTGTAATGATTAATGTTCCAGATTGTTTTGTCCCTTCTGGGCCCCATTTTTTTTTTTCCTATAAAAAATTCCATCTTGTTGACCACTGCCTGAAATGTAAAAAAAAAGAAAAAGAAAAAAAAATTCCATCAAAGAGTAGTAATATATCTTTATTATCAAACAATAGTAGATGTTTATTACCAAAAATAATATATCTTTGTGGCCTACCAAAAGATGTAGTACTTTGCATCCAAAGAGTGAGAAATCCTTGGCAATTGTTGGGTTTGTTCTTTGTGCCTCTAAATCCTTATTTTCATACTTTCTCCTATTCATATGAACTGCCTAGTACTAAATTAGTTGAGTACTGGTGAATAACTAGTACTAAAAGTGAAACGCTGTTTTTAATGGCTCTCTCTCTGGTTTTCAGGGTAAATTAGGTAGGTCACTCCCATTAGTACCTTGGTTTTGTTATTAGTAAAATATTAGTAATCTTGTCTTCCTCTGTGAATGATCTGATGATGAATACTTTGATTTGGTATACTCTAAAATTGCTTAAACGACAAAAATTAGGTGGCCTTATTTTCCTTTAATACTTTCCTTGCTTTGTGCATCATAATTTGAAAGTTATTTGAATATTTTATGAGAGTATTGTGCCTATAAAAATATGCAACAGGACAGGTTATAAACAGCAAAGTGCTTGGCTTTCCTAACTTTCAATTGTGGATTTTATGTTTTATCTTCTAGGATTGCACAAATCCACGGTACTTAGCTGCAGGTTCTTCCAATGCTGTCAAGCTCAGCAGGTTTTTTGATAAGGTAATGGCTTCAATTCAGTTATTTTTAAACTTAATTTATATATTATGAGAGTTTAAATTTTTTTTGTAGAATCCTATGACCCTTTATTTTTTTGTCCAAAACTTTACAGCCTGAATAATACTTGTTTTGACCTCTCTTATCTTTTGGTATAATTGCCCAAGGTTTGCTGACATATTAGTTCCATCACCAGTGTTCTCTAAGTAAAGGGTAAAAGCTACTGGACTTAAATGGGGGTTTTAAAAAATACCTAATTCCTCTCCTTAAAAGAATTTCTATTTACCCATTTTCTCGCTCTTTTTTTCACTTAATCACCCTCCCACTCCCACAAAGACACTGAACTGAGGAGATTCTGCCTAAAGCCCTTAGTTCTTTTTGCTCTCTCACCTGTTAATATTCCCCACATAAATATTACTGTTACCTTTTAAGGTAATGTTTTTCTTCTTGATTTCCTAGTGTTCCCCTCTCAGAACACTATTGCATTCCAGTTATTGATTCTCTGCTAGCATCATTTTATTGTCCTCAACTGGAAGGAAAATGTGGAATGACTCAGCATACTGGTAAATTAGAGCACTGTTTATCTTTCCTTCACAAGGCCATACACCTGCATTGCACATAGTATTAACCAAGTTTAAGTTGTTTGCTTAATATTGAAATTGCATAGTAAGGTAAAATAGGATGTCCTTTTGCATATATTATTGAAAAAGTTTAATTCCTGTATTATATTTAGGGATTTAATATTTGACCCTTTTGTTCAGCGTTAGATAAGCCCCAGCTTTAGATAATTTGGGATTTAATATTTGGCCTCTTTGTCATCATTAGATAAGCCCCAGCCCCCTCCTTGATTAGTATTAGGCCACTAGGAAAATCTTGCTTCACTGCAAAACTTCTTAACTGGTATGTGGCAAATAGGATACAGATGTACCTATATACTGATTTCTCTCAGTTCTCAGAGCAGCCAGAGCCCTCAGGGTGGGAGGTTGGGTGATTGGCAGCCTCTTCCATTTTCCCCAGTGTGCTGTACAAATATTAGCATTTTCTATGTGTGCCATGACATGAAAAATGTGCAGCACTGCAAGGAGCCAGATTTTCTCTCCACATTGTTTTCAAACTTAAAATGTAAGAACTTCCATTTGGTTTAGATCCATGGCCCCATCAATACAAAATCCTGTCCCCTAAGAGCAACATCTTATAGATCTGAAAGATCCCAAAGTGTGTTGTTTAAATTTAAAAATAACTTATTAGTTCTAAAATTAAAAAATAAGATATACTAAATTATATCCTAGAGAAACTGGTTATTAACTGGTATGATCCAAGTTGTCAGGCAAGGCTTTATTTTTTTAAAAAATCAGAAGTAAACATTGCAAGTCAGGGGTAAAGAATTATAACCAAGACCAAAAAGTTAATTTCTCTTTTTATTGTCTAAATCACAACAAAAGGTATGTGGGTTAGGAGGTTGGCCAGACCTCCAGACTGAGGTGATTGCCTGAAACCAAAGGAGCTGACAACCAAATTTCATTCAGTTCTTCCAGAATTTAGCATAAAGATTTCTTCTCCAAAAGAAAATCTAACTCCTTCTCCAGCCTCTTTCAATTAGTAGTAATTCCTCGCACTCCAGAATAATCAGATTTTCCTGTCCTGCCATAGAGGAAAGGGAATCAGTCTCCTTGTTTTTTGTGGGATTAAGATGTACACTAATAATGAACCAACTTTTCTACCTCTGGGGTAAGTGAATGCAACTTTGCCCTGGGTATCTTGTGGCTAAAAATAATACAGCCATAGTCTCCAAGACAGCAAGAATCTGAATGAATGGCTATCATACCAGAGAGAGCAAGCTGGCATTGGCCTTGGAAGAACATGCTCTATTCTCATTCAGAGGAATTCTTAGCTGCATAATTTCAGATTTGAATGCCTTGAAGTTTATCTCCAGCTGATCTGTGTTATTACCTGGTTAACTTTTCTTATCACAGCAAGTCTGTGTAAAGAAAATACAGATAGTCCTCAACTTACGATAGGGTTATATCTCAGTAAACCCCTTGAAAATTGGAAACATTGTTAGTCAAAAACACGTGTATTATACTTAACTTACCAAGCATCACAGTTTAGCCTAGCCTTCCTCAAACATGTTTAGAACACTTATGTTAGCCTATAGTTGGGCAGAATCATCTAACACAAGCCTATTTTATTAAAAAGTTGTGAATGGCTCCTGTAATTTATCGAATACTATACTGACAGTGAAAAAAGTGCCCATTGTACGGGCCCTGAAGGTATAGTTTCTACTGAATGCATCTTGCTTTCACACCACCATAAAGTCAAAAAATTGTACTCAAGCCATCCTAAATCAGAGACTATTTATAATACTTCATCTGTAGCCATTGCAGTTTCTCAAGTGTTAGAACAGAATATATTATTCTTGAAAATATTTTTCATTATATGGAAACATGGTGCTCTTCAGTGTTTACAGCAGTTTGGAGGAAAAATCGATGAAAACATGGTGCTCTTAAACTCATTACATTTGAACATATATTGTGAGGATTTCTTTTCAAAAATGTTGATGGATTTGTGCAAATGCATCTACTGCTTGAACTTGTGTTTTCTACTTAACAAATGCAGACAATTCTGAAACTACTGAAGTAAAGGTGCAGTTAGTTAAAAAAAAAAAAATAGACAATACGACAGTCATTAGAGTGCTTTTGATGTTGCGTCATCTGTCTATATTGAGGCCATATAGAATTTGTCACCACTTACTATAAGGATGTGGTGGTTTGCTCTGTTAAGCAGTCTCCCCTTTAAGAAATAAGACAAGACTATTGTAGCAGGCAAGTGCTTTTTTTATCTTGTGGATTTTGTTTAGTACATTTTGGGACTGACTGCTAGGAAACTTAGAGTCAGATTTGCTACCATACTCTAAGAATTGCATGGATGTCATTCTATCATTATTTAGTTTTTGTTATTCATTTATTTTTTGATCTATCATTAATGCTTTTTGGAATGAGGCAGGCTTTTATGGAAATTCTCCCACAATTCTGATCTCATTAACACCGGATTTTTAGCTCACTCTACTACATATCTACTGCTATGGAAAAGATTCTTATTTCGCATATATTCCTTTTAGTACCATTTGTGGTCATTGCAGTTAGCCCCTTTTTTCAGGTATATGTGCTAAGCCCTTAAAATCTTTGTTTTTCACAGGTCATAGAGAAGAGATACTTTTTAAGAGAAGGTAATCAGGTTGGTATCTATTTTTTCTTGATAAAATGGATTCTTAAATTTAGATAGATGATTTCCAAATTTAAGTTCAGAAGTGGTTTTTAAAAGTTGCGGAAAGCCCTTTGTAGGCACAAACAGTGATTTCCTTCTATCCTGTTTAATTGAAAAGGAGAAAAACAGAACAAAGGGAAAATAAGGGTCTAGGAAACAAGAATAATCTAGGAATAAGATTACATTATAAAATAGAAAAAAAAAGGATTTCCTTGGGACTCCAAGAGTATACGTTCAGAGTCTGTCACAGTACAAATAATTTATATAAAAGTCTAGTAGGTATTATGAGATTTATCTTTGTTCTTTCTGATTTAGATGACACTGTCACCAATTTGTTGGCAGATATTTTCCATTTTGGTAAACTTTCTTTTTATTATTTAATCTGTGGTTTCCTGAGCAAAACCTCAGAAAACTGTTTTCTTTTTTTAAAGGAAAAACTGGCTAACATACAGAAATGGAAAAGAAGGAAAAAATTACTATTAGTATTTGAACTTTTATTTCTTGAGACTTAATATAATTGTCTTTCTTGCCTGTAGATTCCAGGCTTCCCTGATCGGAAAAGGTTTGGGGCAGGAACATTAAAGAGCCTTCATTATGACTGAGTTACACTCGTCCTTGGAAGAGTGAGCAAGCAGTGGCAGTCTTTCACAGCTTTCCTCTTGCTGTGTCAATTATTACCATTACAGCCTTTTAATGAAGTCGTCTTAAAATGCTACCCTTCAGCCTCACCCTTTAATGGAAAAATGAAAGGTAGCGACAACATGGGAGGTCCAAACTTTGTTCCTGTTCTCTGTATTCCTCACCTTTCTGTCCCTGTTTATAGATTATGTAAAAGCCTTGTGGAAATATGAGATGTTGTCAAAATGATGCAGTAAATGAGCAATGACAGTGAATTCCAAAGAAAATTTACTCTTGCCTAGAACTGGAGGGTTTTTATGGGTCTGTAATTTTCCCACACTCACTGCTGAAGGCTTAAGTACAGTACTTGAAAAATGTATCTCTATTGTTTTACCTTCTTGAGGGGAAAGGTCCTGTTAACCAGCCCTGAGTTGTCCACCCCAAACAATCTCTGTCATTTTCAAAGATGCAAAATGGTGTTATTTAATTGTCTCTACCCTCATCACACACAGAAATGTCTAATAATAGCAACCCTGTCTCCCTCTTCTCTCCTTTGCAAATGGCTCAGTGGCTGGAAGAGGCGGACTAATAGCTAGAGTTAAATATAAATACAGATTAATAATACATAGAGAACAGCAATACCAGAAAAAAAGAATTCTGGTAAAATGATGTGAAAAATTGACAGCTCCCTTACTCTTTAGGTTGCTGCTGTCTGCAGTCTCTTGCTGTTTTATTTGGAAATAGGTAGGGTAAAATCTAAGACCTGCACAAGGGCACTGAGAGACATTTATAGCCTTCTCTCCATTTTTTTTTTTATTTTCAGGAAAAGTCAATTCCTGAAATGTCCCTTAGATATAGTCAGACAACTGAGAATATTATTCTTGTGTCAACAATTTATTTATGGAGAGAAGTAAAAATAAGTTCCACAGCAACACATTTACATGAATTATGAACTAGGATTCCTGGATTTCATAATCACTTCAAAGCTTTTTGGGGGTGGGGAGTGTGTGTGTGTGTGTGTGTGTGTCCATAATAGTTCATCATTACTTTTTTAAACCCATCTTTTTGCTTGCTTAATCTTCTCTGCCCCAGTTCTTCCTTAGCATATGAACTTGATTTCTAAAAACAATTTATTCAGCACTTTATCACCCATATTCTCTCTCTGGCTCTGGTGCTGATCCTTGTACTCCTGATTTTGCTGTATACTTTTAAATAATAATAATAATAAATACACATTTGTTTCTCATTTTAAAATTAGGTAGAAAACACCGACTTCACTTTCTATTCCATTTTAATTAGGTTTCAGAAGTACCTTGGAAATCAAGGTATGCTGTAAGAGGATATTAAAATAAGAAGGTTAGAGAATCCTTTTAGAAAGGCAGTCTTGGGAATTTGGAAAAGGATTTTTAAATCAGCTTTCATCAGCTAGACTATTCTCCAGCCTTTCTTTACTTCCTCTTTGAAAGGATCTACTCCTGGTTTCTTTTTGACACAAAGAAGAGCTATGCAAATCATGATCTGTATGTAGAATTGGTCACAGTATGTTGTGGCATAGGCTGTATAGTTGGGAAGTAGAAACCAAATGTTTCACAGCGACTTAAACCAACTAAAACTCTTTGTATTTCTCCTTTAAAAAATAAATCAAAACCCCTTCCTTCCCTCTGCTTGCTTTATCTAAAAATTATCCTGAACTTTTTATTTTCTACATCATAAAAAATAAAAATAGGCCGAGCACAGTGGCTCATGCCTGTAATCCCAACACTTTGGGAGGCCAAAGTGAGTGGATCACTTGAGGTCAGGAGTTCAAGACCAGCCTGGCCAACATGGTGAAACCCCGTCTCTACTAAAAATACAAAAATTAGCCAGGCCTGATGGCACACCTCTGTAATCTCAGCTACTTGGGAAGCTGAGGCAGGAGAATCACTTGAACCCGGGAGGTGGAGGTTGCAATGAGTTGAGATCATGCCATTGCACTCCAGCCTGGATGACAAAGCAAGAATCCGTCTAAAATAAATAAATAACAAAAAAGTAAACCATTGTTGATGGTTCTGGGGTCAAGCTGGAAAAATTATCAGTATTCCTCAACTCCATTTCTTTCTGCAGCCAAGCCTGATTCCTTGAATTATAGTTTTCTAAGAAAAAGTAGTTTTTAATAATCTAAGGTAAATTTGTTGCAGTTATTAGCAGCAGCATAATAAGGCTTTTCACCCAAATGAATGTTATTAGCTAGAGTTCTTCAAAAAAGAATGTTTTTGAAGTATACTTTTTGCTAGGACTTCTTGAGAACTACTCATGAAAAATGCTTATAGTTAATAAGTATACATGTCAAAATATATATTTTTTGAAGTATAATTGGCCAGGTGCTGTGGCTCACACCTTTAATCCCAGCACTTTAGGAGACCGAGGCGGGAGGATCACTTGAGCCTAGGAGTTTGAGGCTGCAGTGATTCATGATTGCACCACTGCCTTCCAGCAGCCTGGATGACAGAATGACTCTATTTCTTTACATATGTATATCTTACTCTCTTGATGGGACAAGTTGGTAGCAATAAAGATTTTTTTTTCTGTTGTGATTTAGATCTCTAACCAATTTTCTGACTCATTGTGGAGCTGACCAGATGTGAAGGCATATATATGACCACTCCTCTGCCCCTTGGGTGGGTAAGACTTAGTTGGAATCCAAGTAAAGATTTAAGCTAGTCTCTCCCCCTTAATATTGATGGGATTCAAGGCATACAACCCCAAAATATTGCACCCCGGTATCTAAAAAAACTGCAGTAGCAAGGTTTTTCACACCTTCCCCTCTGAAGCAGACCATAAAACCTAAGTGACCTTCCTCTGAAGTAGATCATAAAACCTTTATTCCAGAGGTACCCTTTATCCTCACAGATACAGAGACACCAAGGAGAATCTGAACAAACAGGACTTGCTGAGTTCTTCACAGTTTATTATTGTTAGATTATATCATTTTGTCCTCTGATTATACTTCTGCATGAGACTGTACATAAAAATTTACAGGTTTTCCTGTTTCTTTGCATCTTCGTTTCTAAAGATTCCTTTCTCATAAAACTTAAATAAATTTGTGTGCTTTTCTCATTAATCAGTCTTTTGTTATAGGTGCCTCAGTCGTGAACCTAGTGATGGGTGAAGAAAGCAAGCTATTCTCCCCTTCAGTGCTCTAAGAAAAGCTATTCTCGAAAGAATTGATTCTTAATAGCTTTAGCTTGTGTTCTTAGAATTTCCCAAACTTGAGGTATTCATGGTATCATACAGGTGCCCTGACACTTGTTTTTTTTTTGTCCATTCTGAAAATGGACTTCATGGAACTGATATGCAGGGCCATCAGACTAAGCTGAAGAGCTCCTAATTTCTCCCTAATCAGAGTTTCTAAGTCCTCATTTCAATAGTGTACAGTAACACCCACCATAGGTAGGACCTTGTGTGGGTTACTAGATGGTGGCTTAATTGAATTTTTAAAGCACAGGTAACATCTCCTATTTTAAGAAGTTTAAAGGTCTAACAGGGTGTCTGTGTTGGTTTAATATCTGTTAAAATTCAAAGGAGGATTCTGTTTTGGTGAAAGGAGGGGAAGGAAATTAGAAATTCATTTATCCACAGTCCCAAGACTGAGCTAAATCACTTTGGTGAGAGAGGAAGGGTTCCAGGAAGTCCAACCCTATGCCTTAAATATTTCACAGTATGTTTGCCTATGCAAAATATCTGCTGCTGGAGTCAGCTGGGGCTGCTCTATAGAGTAGTAAAGGGATTGGGCATCCAGTTACAGTTAATCTGCACCTCCATTAAGGACTTAAATGGAGGGCTTTCAAACTCAAAAGTGTATGAGAATCCCTTGAAGTCCTTGCTTAAAAAGCAGATTCCAGGATTTCCTCTCTCTTCCCTTTCTATATGTATAGGATAAAGCCAGGATTTTGTATTTTTAACAGACAAACCAGGTTATTCTCATGCAGATAAGTCAGGATCTAGCCTTTAAGAAAGACAAACTAGGCCGGGCGCGGTGGCTCAAGCCTATAATCCCAGCACTTTGGGAGGCCGAGGCGGGTGGATCACAAGGTCAAGAGATCGAGACCATCCTGGTCAACATGGTGAAACCCCGTCTCTACTAAAAATACAAAAAATTAGCTGGGCATGGTGGTGCGTGCCTGTAATCCCAGCTACTCAGGAGGCTGAGACAGGAGAATTGCCTGAACCCAGGAGGCGGAGGTTGCGGTGAGCCAAGATTGCGCCATTGCACTCCAGCCTGGGTAACAAGAGCAAAACTCCGTCTCAAAAAAAAAAAAAGAAAAAAAAAGAAAGAAAGACAAACTAATCAAAAAGTAGAGAATATAGATTGTGAACTCTTTACTTTAGGAGTGCCATTATAGCAGAATTCATCAAAACTCACCTTTGGCTGCCTCAACCTAATCTCACCTTAATGAACTGAGCCACTCCTCCCCACTCAAAGCTACACATACTGAGTTAAACATGAGATGATTATCATGTCTTCTGTTGGCAAAACAGGAAATACTTGTCTTTCATGTACTGCTATCATTTTTATTACTGCCACTGTTTTCCCTCTAGGTTCTGTTTTTAATCCAGATAGCTTTATTTCTAATCAGTGCCTTGTCATCCGACACCCCCCTCTCTAGTACTATGTTTTCTCAGCTGGATAATATTAAGCTTTACCAAGGTCATCAATAACTAATGATGAAGAATGGAACCCCCAAACTCCAACCAAGATGTAAAACCTTGCGCAGTACCATCAAGTACATCAGGTAATCTCTCCGTTCCATCTTTTTCTCAGAGACATCTGTCCTGGAGTCCTCTGATGCCTAACTCCATTTTGTAGTGATTATTCTGTAGGCCTGTCACCCCCTGCTTCACATTACCATGTAGCAATTCCAAGCTTTCTGGATATGTTTTCCACTTTCTTGGGGTGGGTCAGTGGTCTGCAAATTGGAATGGGTACAGGCATCCCCTCTAAGAGGTATATAAGCACAGATAGTTTTAAGGGAATCATTTTCCAGATCACCAATTGCCCTGTGTAAATCTTCGTTTAAATTGATCTGTTTGTGAAGGCAGCTCAGTGCTAGCTCTTATTTCTCACCTCTGTTTTCACAGTTACCCTTTCCCACTAAGGAAGAGCAGTATCTCACTAGTGGTATAATAGCACTCTAGTATATCACCCCAGGATGTAAATGTCTTCAGGATGCCAACAAAAGGACAATTCTAAATATTTGTTTTATTTAAGGACTTCACTGTCCCATTCCCCATAATTATTATTTGTTTAATACAGGGTTTCTGAAAGCAAAGCAAAGAGAACTTTAGTAAAAAATACACAAGTTTGTGGCATCTTTTGTGGCAGAACTTCTGTCTGGTCTG